CTGCTCCAGCCCACCCCATCTCCCCACCCACCCTGGGGCTGAGTGCATGGGTCTGCTGCAAAGCCCCCACTGCAGGGCTTGGCCCCCCCACTGCAGCTTGGGGCCTGGGCAGCCACGGCCCCCTCTGCACCCCCCAGCAAGGTCACAGACTCTGCGCAGAGCCGGACAGCGTGCATGTACAGCCGGACAGACAGCATGCATGTACAGCTGGACAGCATGCATGTACAGCCAGACAGCGTGCATGTAAAGCCAGACAGATAGAATGCATGTACAGCCGGACAGACAGCATGCATGTATAGCCAGACAGCATGCATGTACAGCTGGACAGCGTGCATGTACAGCCGGACAGACAGCATGCATGTACGGCCAGACAACACGCATGTACAGCCGGACGGACACCATGCATGCACAGATGGACAGACAGCATGCATGTACAGCTGGACAGACAGTGTGCATGTACAGCCAGACAGCATGCATGTACAGCCGGACAGACAGCACCCATGCACGGCTGGACAGACACCATGCATCCACAGGCAGCCACATTGCACCCCAAACAGCCCTGGGGCAGGCTCTGAGCGGAGCAAGGTTGGGTTTGTTTTGGGTTTTCTTTTTTAATTTTTTTTTTTTCTTTCTTAATTGCTGTTATTTTTTTTCCCCTCCCACTGTGGTTTTCACGATGCAGCTCACAGGTGGAGCCTGAGGCTTGCAGAGCCGGAGCATGGGATGCAGAGCTGCCCAGGGATGGAGGGGGGGCACATACCCACCGCAGCCGGGGCTTGTGCCTGGGGCAGGGGCTGGCGGGGGGCCAGGGCAGTGGCACAGCCAGGGAACAGGCACCGGCTTTATTTACAAAGTGGGCCAGAGCTGTCAGGAGCATAAAGGGCTCCTCGGTGCCCTTGGCTGGTACTCGGGCCAGGCGAGAGCTAAAAATGGCTCCATGGGAATTTGCTGGCAAGCTCTAAAGACCGAGTGGGAAACGTGGGGGGGAGGTCAGGCAGGGCTGGGCGAGGGACAAGCGTGTCCCCATCCTGCGTCCCCAGCCACGGGGGCTGGCAGCTGCAGGTGAGGCTCCCTGCAAGGGACCCGCGTGTGTTGCAAGGCTGGAAGATGCTCCGGAGGTTTTCCTGCACCCTGTAACCCTCAGGTAGCTCCTGGGGAGGGGGCTGCAGGTGGGCGATAGCTCAGCAGCCGTGGCACCCACATCCCTGGGCCAGGTGCCTGCTCCTCCCCCTGCCCCTGCCCCCAGAGCACTTGCCAGCTTGCCCAGTGTGACCAGCACGCCCCATCCGTGGCCCCATGCGGCACTTGTCCCTCCCCTGGGAAGCAGCCCACCCAAAATGCTGGGATGCCGCCTTCGTGGGACCCATTTGCAGGCAGGCAGCGGTGGCTCCTGCCTGCCGGGGTAGCAGCGCTCCTCT